GTGCCTGCACACAAGCTGTGAATATGGCAACGACCAAAGGATTTAATTTTGTAAGAGCTCAGGCGTACAAAACAGGGAAGGGCAACAACAAAAAACTTTGGAAAATCATAGGCGTACGGCAGATGCTTTCCACCGGGAAGGGTAGTTGAAAGTTTTCCCGCATTTTTGTTGAGGATTATAATGAAATAACCTGAATTTAACATATTTTCTAATAAATCTGTCGGAATTTTCTTAATTTGTCCTAGCATTTGCCTCAATTTTTATGGGTTTCCAAAATATCAAGAAAATTCAGGCTGAGGTATCGGAAAATATATTAAATCTGAATACATTTTTCGCCCAGGGAAAATCTTAAATTCCAGTGGGTGGAAGGGGTGAAGATGGCAATGTACTGAATTGAGCGATACTTAATGTTTAATTAATTAAATAAAATTTGGAAATACTATGCTGAATATGCTGTAATAAAAATGCCATAAAATAATCCGCCATAGTATACTTGCAGAAAGCTATTCCCTCCGTTAGGGAGAATGCTAAACGGAGAGTTATAATTCATAGAGTTAAGATTTTGGAGAGTTAAATGCAAGCCAGGTCCACTTTTATCAATAACCACACACAATTTTTTTAACTCTCCTGATGTCATTTTTCAACTAACACGAGAGAGTTAGTTTGCTGTGTCTTTCATAACTCTCTGTTGTTATGATTGGGAAGTGAGGAGAGAGTTAATATTATTATCTTCAAATTAACACCAATCGTGTTTTGAAAAATAAGCGATTATTGAAGGGCGGTTTTGGAAGGTAGACGGCAAGGGAAATACAACAGTTTGTCGTTATATGGACTATAAAACTCACCTTGATCCATTGGTTCTTCATCGAAAACCAAATTACAGTTTGTGAACCCACAACGTTCATCTTTCATATCATGAAGTACCCTTTTCCCGTTTTCAGTAAATTTATTTGAACGAAGCCACAATTTTGTTAGCTTACAACGTTCATCTTGGAGTGTCTTACACAAGCTGGGTATGCATTGATCCGTTAACAAACACTCATCAAGATACAACTGAGTAAGCTTACAATGCACGTTTGTCAGGGCATCTTCAAACAACATACCTACACCTTTATCACCTATGGCATTGAACCTCAGTAATAGAACAGTCAGTTGACAACGTTCATCTTGCAATGCCTTAACTAGCGCAGGAATACATCGATCTGTTAACTTACAGTTACAGATATCCAATCTGTTAAGTTTACGAAGCCCTTTCGTCAGAGTATCACACAATACCATTGCACCCTAATCACGTATTAATTCATTTCCAATATCCAAATAGGTAAGATTTGAACAATGTCCATTGTTAAGGACTTCACGAAGTTCCGAAATTTCATGTGTCCGAATTCCAATACAATTTAGATCTAAGCACGTAAGTTGGCTGGCATACCCGTTACGAAAAAATCTGCACATCATTAGTAAACCTGTTTCGGTCATGCCAAAATCATGAAGTGTTAACGAAGTCAGCTTAGTGTGCTTGTGGTCTAATGTGCAGTTTAATTCCATTAATGCGCTAAATACTCGTTCCACATCTATAACAGTGTCAAATCTACCCCCAGACAATTGTAGTTGATTTAAGCATCTTTTTCGTAGCAATTGTAGAACCTCCAGAAGGTAATATTCATCTACAGTGGTAGACAAAACTAAATTTGCCAAATTCTTCATGTGTTTGCAAATATAACTCACCGCTGCCCAGTCACTTGGAGAAACGTGATATAAACCATTGTGTAGCTTTACAACATCGTTCAAAGTAGTTGTCTCACAAACTTCTTTAACAATCTCTTCATCGTCCACTTCCCTTAAACACTTCATCACAAACACTTCGTTGTAATTAAGTTCAATTTTACCATGAGTAACTTGGAGGCTTTCACCAATTGCGAAAATACAATCCTTGTATTCCCTATGAAACCTTTTCTTGCTCAAAAGTCCTGCAATGAAGTGAATAATTAAATGCCATTTACCACTTTCAACATGATCGGAAATAAACTTCTTTATTTGGAGTGGAACAAATGTTTCAGTCACGTGTCTTGCGGCAAGAAATTCTTGTATGGTTAAATGGATAAAACAAAATTGTGTTTGTAGTGGGAAAATAGGATTGGATAAACTGTTCAATAAACCTGACGTTTTCATTTTTACATCAAATAATACTTGATCAAAAATCAGTTGCCCGCTTTCCATACCAAGGAATGCTAATCGTTGAAGTTTCTTTAACGCTTCATGTGCCGTAGAGTTTCTGTCTGCACTTCTGTGATTATGTTTCTCAAAATGATCAATGGCTGTCTGGTAAAGTTCTGTCAGTGTTGTTGGAAGAGCGCCAGTTTCATTTCTTTGGTCACTATCGATAAGGCGTCCGGAGAGGGTAACACACACTATAAAGCAGTTGATTGGAATGTAACATAAGTTTAACAGTTCTGATGAGGTTTTTATATGGTTCCATATCTTCGTTTTGAGGTCGCTCGTGTTATTATTGTCACAAAATCGGCTGACATATTCTTCAATTTTATCGGAGGTGAAACCAATGATCTCCACATTTCGATCAAATTCAAGTCTGGAGTAAAAACCATCTGCAGTCGGTCTGCTCGTTACTACAACCGTTGCTCCTTTCAACAAGTCGCCCAAAACTAGTTTAATGAATAAATTTATTGCTGACGTGTCAGTATTGGGATCGTTTGGAATGAGGCGAGATTGGTCTAAGCAACTTATGAGGTCGCCGTGATATTCGTCTAAGCCATCAAAGATAAGAATGGCTTTTTCTGGCTCTTTTGCAATTTCTTCGTAAATACTTTCAAACGTTTCTTCATTCAGTCTCGTCCCAAACCGAAGAAATGTCTTAAGGGATATATTTGCTAATTTGTTAAAATTCTCGTTCAACCATCTGAATTTGAAAGAGAAAGCAACCGTGTCGTAATAATATTCATCAATTCCATTAGCCCAGTTACGGAGAATTTTTTCCGTCAAGACCGTTTTTCCAATCCCAGGTCTTCCAATCACCAGAATGCTACGAGGAAATTCTTCCTTCATTGTATCTCTGTTTGGATAAAATAAATCGTCAATGTTTTCTAAACGTATCGAGGTTTCAGGTACTTCCATATATACATCGTAGATCTCGTGGTTTTTTTATGTCTTTAGAGAACTCGTGCTGAGCTCTTCCAGTATGGATAACAACGTCAATATACAAATCATCTATATCATTTTTTTGTATATAATGTATGTCAGGTGCAAGAGAACGATTCAAAACTTGTTGTCGGTAAAAAGGTATATGGTCCTGAATCGTAGAGTCTAGAATGCTGTTGTTCATTGTGCTACGGCCTGGAAGGTTGATACAGATTTATTGTGCATAATCTGGATATTGTATATCATCATCACTCATGTAGTCTACTGGACGTGTTGTTGTTATTTTATAAAACAATTACTTTATGGTTTCCCTGTTAGGATGTCCTGATCCAAACACTTGGGAATGTTGCTCGACTTAAGAAAAGCGCGCAAAATCACTCGCCTTCGGCTCGTGTTCGCGCGCTTTTCTTTCTCTCGGCTCGCGTTCGCGCGCTTTTCTCGCAACATTCCCGCGTGTCTGGATCAGGCTATCCAAACACGGAAACCATAAAGTAATTGTATATTGTATAATGTTTGAAATGCTACTAATGCAGCAATTTAAGCAAAATATAAGCCAACAACTGTGACAACTACAGTATAATAATTGTGCATGACATAGCCGACAATGAGAATACTAAATCTTTTAAACGCTGACCAGAGCTGTGATTATAAGTCGAGGAATATAAACACAACAGCAAAAGTTTAATATTATGTATACTACCAATTAAAACAGTACGCGAGCAGATATATCAAAACTGTATACAGTGGCGGCGCCAGGGGGGGGG